ATCAGACTTGATTAATCAAGTCTGCTGGAGCACAGAAGTTGATGTGCTCCGGCAGCCTCACGCATCATGCACGTCACCACTCATCTCAAGTGCTGACAAAATGGCGGCAGCGCGCTTTGAAATAAAAAGCATCCGATGAGCTTTAGTTCAAAGTGCTCTGCCATCATTTTTTCAGGATGGGGACATGTGGTGACACTGATGCACGTGATACAAAAGCGCTTTCTATTAGTGCAACTTGCTAATAAAAGCACCTGGCGCCATCTCTAGGAGCATGTGTCAGAATGCCCTTAGTTTCTCCCTTCTCTCCACTTTCCTTCCCTTTTACCCCTCCCACTTAAATGCAGATAATATTTTTCTACTTCGTAATACCTTACAACATCTAATTTAGTTCTTATTCAGATTTCTCCAGTTTCTTAGACAATATAGAATAAAGTATGAGTATGTTGCCGGAATTTAATAAATAATATCCATTTAACATTTTAAATCCTTGTCATTCTGCCCATTCAGTACTGGGCATTTTTTTTGTACCAGAGGTAAACGAAAGAGAACCTTTTACTCCAAAGAGTTACCAGTCTTTTTCTCTTAAAATAGTTGTTAAATAGCAAAGATTTTACAATACAGTGCTAACTCTGAACCAACTAAGATTTCAGCTTTGCTCCTGTAGGTTTGATCATGAGGGAAACAAATTGCCACTGAATAAAAAAAGCAAGCAGGAATCTGGCAGGCAAAAAGTGGGTAGAATTACTTAATGTAGCTAATTTTACATAAATAATTTTGAAACTGGGCAACAGCTCGACTGTCCTTATAAACCAAAGATAACTAGTATCCCTGGACCTATGCAAAATATTTTGCCACTAGGTCCCTAATTTAAATTCTATTATAAATACTTTAAGTTATCCTTAAATGAGGTTGTTACCCTGCCTATGTATCAGTGTTTAAAAGTGTTTATGCATATAAGCAGTAGTGATGGTTTTTTTAATGCTGCATAATCTTGCTTCTCTATCCTGCTAAATTCTTTCTTTCAATCTTCTCCTGACACAGTGAATTCCACAGGCTGATTTTATATACTGAATGTAAGCATTTTTTTCTTTTAAATTTTACCTTCTTCCCTTTCCTTGGACTGCAACATGCTATCCTAAATACAGGAAATGGAAAGGTGCCCTTAATTAAGGCTGCTCACTGTACACGATTCATTTTGTTAAATACCACCATAAAGTCCTTGAGTTTAAATGAATACATGGCTGAATGAGGCGCTTTTTTTTGGTGGAAAGGTTAATTATAATTGAGTTTTGCATAGTTTGTTCAAGGCACACCCGCTGTAGCCTGCCATGCCAGCTATAGAAGGCTTGGAGGTTTTTAGGAATGTCTGTTGTTTCCCTAGATTTCGGTTGTAGCCGTGTTGGTCTGAGAATATATGCAGGCAAGATTCTTTGAGTAGATGTGATATATTTTATTCGACCAACTGAGTAGTTGGAAAAAAGTTCTTAGTGAGCTTTCAGGCACAGTCACCCTGCTTCAGGCATAGGAAGTCTCTGCTAGTGTGAGACTCCAAAGAATGAGAAAAGCTAAAAGTGCATAGGATATCAGTGAGAATGTAAATAGGTAGAAATTAGAAAGACAAAAGGTAAAGCAGGCAAGGGAGGGGGAAAAAGCAGGTTTTTACTTCTAGCATTCTGTCCTTCATTGGTGTTCGGAGAGTTAAAATCCAGATCCCTAGAATAAAGTCTGCCTGTACTTAAGCATCTTTAACATCATTCACAAACAGTATAACCTCATAAATCTGGATATTGAAAATCCAGCCCTTTTTAAAACTACATTCCATCAGAGAGTAGCGGCGGCCGTTCCCAGAGCAGTGGAGGGGGAAACTTGCATGCAGCGGCTGCTGCTGCCATCCACCACCTTGCACCACCGCTGCTCCGGGACTGGCTGTCACTACCCCTCCTTTCCCCCCACCCCCTCTGCTCCGGGACTGGCCGCCACTCTGGTTTCAAAAATCCAGAATTTTCACATTTCCGCTAGGTGCTTGATCCCGAGCATGCCAGATTCATGAGGTTATAGTATATATGCATTAACAGGGTGTTTTTTTCTTATTTTACTCAAAAACTGCTGAAGTATAATTTAATATTTTATAACTATTTTTACTAGATTTTTCATCTGTAGCCCTTGCGTCTTATTTACGAAGCTTTCTATCCAGTCTATTTTATTGCAAATTTAAAAGATTAACAACATATTAACATTTACATTGCACATAAGATGATCCATTTTAGCAATCAATTTGCTGATTTTCAGGAGAAGAGAAACAGACATGAAACCTCATAATCATGTTTGATTTTGCACTACTTTGAACATGGGTTTAATTTGGTATGTGTGTAGGTGATTGGAAGGGGGCTTGTTTTATTTTGGGGTTGGAGGGGTTACTTTTAAAAAAATGTTCCTATTAAACAAGATCTAAATTTGAATTCTGAAGTGAAAAGGACACAATTCTGATATAAATCAAATGTGTGTTAACCGTTGAACCCCATGCCCCCCTGTGCTTATCTTGTAACCTGGGGGTTGGCAACATTTTTGGCTGGAGTGTCAAAAACACCCCAACCTCCACCCATGCCTTGACTTGGGCATGAAGATGGTGTGGGACCCTGAGGGGGTCTGGTCCTAGTTGCTGGCAGCAGGGGCACACACGTCTCCGAATGGACAACAGGGGAGGGGCTGGGGTCACACTGCCCCAGACCCTTTCCCAGCCATGCGACCTGCGGCATGCATGCAGCCACCGCCGCCGCTACCATAGAGCCAATGCCAGGGCTCCAGACCCCATTGCAGCTGTTTGCAGCCTGCCCTTCACCTGGTGTAGCTGCCCAGAGTCTGGGCCAGCTGTGGCATGCCAAGCAAAATGATCTCGTGCCACACTCTGGCATGCGTCCCAGGGCTTGCCAATCCCTGTTCTAATCTGTTAGAAGCACCTAAATGAACGTATTTACATTGTGCCCTGAATGTCAGCAGTTTGGTTCAATATGGGAAGTAGGTTCTAGACTGGAGGATGTTCTCTTAAAAACACTGCATGCTGCTTGAGAGAGTGCATCAAAGATACATGTACACCTCAGACACTGAATTCATATAGGTACTTGATTGAACAGTTTTGTTATGCATGGATTAAGTGATACATTCAAACTGTAGAGCTCTAATAGATTCAAACTTAAAACAGACACATTTAATATCTTTAGTCTGTCACATCAGTGAAAATGAGAGGCTGAAATCATACAGTTTATGCTGATATTTTTCCTGTGTCCTGGAGCACTTTATAAATGCAGAAATAAGCAACTATTACACAGTATAGAAAAGTATTTTGAAGAGCATTTGCATGTAAGAGTCCTTCTCAGTAGTTGAATACTTTGTCAAAAACCACCTCCATTCCCACCACAAAAATAGTGATTAGCTTTGTTGGATACTGAGGCTAAGAACATGGACTTCAAGGTAATAAAGAAAAGTAGAGGTACTCTGATACATCGGTCCCATGTCGGATCAGCAACAATATGACGAAAATTGAGAGCATTGGCAGTCGGCTTTTTTGTCTGATATGGCCGATAATGTGGCCAATAAATGCTGTGTGCATTTGCGCAGCTGGCCAGAAGTGCAGCCCGGCAGCGTGGTATGCAGCCAGGTCCAGCTGATAAGTCTGTTGTGGGGGGAGGGAAGGGGCATGGAGCAGGAGGGGAGACTAAGGCCCCCGCAGGGAGGTAGGGGGGCAGGGGCAGGTGCTGCCCAGCTGGGGCGGGGTGGGGCATGGAATGGAGCTGCGGCTCGTCCAGGGGTCGTGAGGGGGGGCGGCTCCCTCTGCTTCGTGCACCCCAGGAGGGCACGGGGGGGGGGGGGCGGGGGCTTGTAGCGGTGGGTGCTGTCCCCGCCCCGCACCCCCTGGATGAATTATGGCTCTGTCCCATGCCCCACTCTCCCCTGCCTGGGCAGTGCCTGCCCCAGCCCCACTCCCTCCCTCACCACAGGGGCCTCAATCTACCCCCCACCCTCCATGCTCCTTTCCTCCCCCTATCCTTTCCCCTAAAACAGACTTAGCCGTCTGACACTGCTCTCCACGCTGCGGGGCTGCGTACTGGAATTGGATCAGTATCAGACGATATGGGTTGTTAAAAATAGCCATTGCTATCAACCCAAAAAATCTATTGATGCACCCCTAAAGAAAAGATCCATGAAATCTGAAAGTTGCAACAAACTATTTTAGTTTATAAAGATAGTAGGTGAAATCCTGACTTGTAGTTTTAGTGGCAAAATCCTTCAATGAGACTTCATCCAGTAATTACAATGAGTATGTAAACAACAATAACATTTGCATGTTGACATCCTGCATCATTCTTTTGTCATTTGTATTTGGAAAAAAGGTAATATGGAGACATAAATTCTTCAGTGACTTGTACTATGTTTAGTGTTAGTTGCTTTTCTAACTTGGGGGATGGACCAATATGAAAGTTAAAAAAAAAAAAAAAAAAGAAATTTTCAATATGTATCAGGTGCTATCAAGTGACTTGTGAACTGTTTTATTAATTATTATTACATGTGGGAACAGAGCTGTAAGTCAAAAAACACTCTTGGCTATTGCTTTTCAAATTGCCAGCTCTGCAAGCCTTAACTAGCATCTAAAAGTCAAGCTGGGTTCCTTTTGGCTTTCATACCATCACTAATAGAAATTCTGTAGCTGGAACTAGGGTTAAGCATCATAAACAATATTGTTATCCAAGTTCCAGTTGCAGAATTTTTAATTCCCATCAGTGAGCCAGAAATGAATGATTTACTTCAATAGCTGTATTTGTTCTGTAGGACTTAAATTAGTAAGAATTATTCATGACAATAAAGCAAGCAGATATATCCCTGTAGAGAGCTGATATGTGGAGTAAGAAGATATTCCCCCATAGTCACTTTTCTGACTATAATCATCTTTTAAAAACCTTTAAAACGTTATTTCACGTAACAGACCTCTCCTTTCTTTCTTGTAGCTCACACTCCAGATAATAGTTTCCTTGGGTTTGTGGTGGAACAACATCTGAATTCCAGCGACATTAAACATATTAATGACATCAAAAGGCAGAATCAGTCTCTTGTTTATGGAAAGGTCGATAACTTCTGGAAGGTGAGTTTCAATATTATATCTTTATTCACATTAATTTTGATTGAGGGAGCAAGATGTAAAGCTTGAGACTGAGACTTGCAATAATCTTTCCCTCATGAATAATAAACACTTTATCTGAAAATATGCAGTAATAATATTAATCTTCTGAGCAAGGCTGACGGGTGCCTCCTGAGTGTTGGGGTGAGGGGGGGCACAATTTGTAGGCGGGCCTGGGGATGGGCCAAAAGCAACAAAAAAAAAAAGCGCAGCAAAAAACCTGCCCCACTTTCAGGGGCCAGTCTCACAGGGGGCACATGCCCCCCCCCCCCCACACTTGTCTTTTGTATTTCTGAGCATTCTGGGGGGGCTTCTCCTAAAGTGCCATCTACCTACCTAGAGGGCATAGGTATGAAAATCCCTGAAAAATATCTGTCCATTTCACTTCAAGTAAAAAATTTGCAGCTTTAAGCAGTAAATGTATTTGGGTGTGCAGATAAAAGCTAGTGAAGCACAATGTGATTTTGAACAATGAATATCATTTCCTTTGCTTGAACGTAGGACTTGATATGTTTTATGTCCAAATGAGTAGGATGCCTGTTTAATTTTGTTGCTAGTAAATAAAACAAGTTTTTGCAGTACTGCTATTAGAATGATTTGGGGGAAATACAGAAGTTGTTGAAAGACATTATGAGTATTTGAAGTGGTGCAGACCTGAGCCATATGTCATAAGTAATTGTTTCTTTTAGTGACTTCTTTTGCATGCTACAGAAAGGCAATTATACTTGCATTTGAATAGGAGGATATGCTGTGTTCTGAGCATCGTGAGGTTAAATGGAACCTCCAGGCTTTCACTTTAAAACTCTTGAAATGTGCCATCTCACTGAACCTCCCTTCAATAACATCACTGTCGTGCTTGCATGACTTCAGAGTTGTGGCATTGCCAACTCAGCCTCAGTGCTGCTCTAGATATCAGACCTGCTGCCTGGGACTGAGGCTCTATGGAGGCAGCTCCAGGAGACAGGTCTTCACCTGCACTAAAAATTCTTTTGATTCCCTAGCATTTGGCAGCAATCTTTCTAGTCAGTAAGAAGCATCTTTTTCTATTTCCTCATAATCCAGTTCTGGGGAGAGGAAAATAGGAAATATTCTGATTCCCAAAAGAAGAAGCCATCATTTTCTTCTCTACCAATGCAAGTCGTCTTTGAGTAAGGAGGCTCCTTACCAGTTTTAGTGCCAATTCTTTTAGCCTACACCTCTTGTAGGATTGAGCATTGAATGGTCTGAACACGACATTGGTGTGCATACCTTTAACATAGCCAGTTTTTCCCCCTCGTGATGAAGGGGCCAGATAATAAAGTCACTGGCTTCTTCTCCGCTGCATGATTGATACTGGTGACAAACACTGCTGTGCAATATGGTACATCCCCTGAGAGCCTGGATTTGCTTCAAAACCAGACTTGCAGGCAAGTTTGGTTAGCTGCAGAGCATTTACACATCTTCCTTTGCCAAAAACCCGTCTGTCTGGCAAGACTTTATTCTGGACCACTGCTCCAATAGTTGTGCCCCTACGTTCAGTAATCAGTAAAGGCTGTTTCATGCCACCAGAATTAGTAATGCTGACTTTGCTCCAAGGATAACATTGACTCTAGAAGCACTTGCAATTATCTCCTAGATTGCTGTTTTCATGGGTCAGCCAAATTTAATTCTCTGCAAATACCCTGACATTGTTAAATTTTCAACACTGCCTCTTCGAAGGAGATTGACATATGTACAATACCTCCAAGGAGAATTTATCAGACTATGCAGAATGGTAACCCATCAAGAAGTGTTCTAATGGGATATGCCCTGAAGAAGAAATCAGGCTTCCATCAGTATGATGAACAGGAATAATTTCAAGAGTTGATGGGGACAATGAATGACATTGTACCCTCCAGATATGAATGGGGTCAGCACCATATGCCTCTGATCCCCTTTTCAACAACGTTCAAATGGCAGTCAAAAGACAGGCATAGCCTTTAGTTTTCCAGAATGACTAAGTCCCATGGAAGACATTTGGCACCTGTATCCTTGTTGCCAGCATCAGAAAAAGTTTATCATATGTATTCTGTGCCCTTGAAGGGTCCCCAGTTGTTGCAGCATCGCTCAATTGATTCAGTGCTGGTCCTTGATTGCTGGAGCCCAGGAAATCTCTAAAAGGGGCAGAGCATCCTTGACCACTGCCTTGGGGAGACAGGAAAGTGTATTGGACACCGTTGAAAGAAAGTCTGTTTTTCCTGCATCCTTGTGCCTCTGAATGGCAAATCATGGAGCTGTCATGTCCAGCTATAGCTACATACCATGAGAATCCAAAACCCTTTACTAACCTCTCCCTTGTACTTGATGAACAAATGGAAACATTTAAGACAGGAGTGCTCAGCTTCCAGTCCACAGGCCAGATCCAGACCATGGGGGCTCTCCAAGGGTCCAGAAATTTTGTAGCAGGGGTGCAGTAGCAGTGTTAATTGCCACTTCCCTGCTGCCAAATTTCCAGACTCATGGTGAACACTGTAGGCCCTATAACATGGCCCAGCACGCTGGCAAGTCCAGTAGGTGAGCAGCTAGAAGTTAGATCTGGGCAGTGGACAGTGCAGAGCTTTAGCGGGGCACCAGGCAGCATGGGGCCGGATTGGGGCAATTCAGGATCAAGACAATGGACCAACCTCATACGGAATCCAGCCCTTGGACAGACCCCGTGCCACTCACCCAGCTCATGGGGACAGAAGGTTGGGCATCACTGGTCTAAGAGTTTGCTCACTAAGGTCAGAGCATGTCTTCTACATGTAACTCAACATACTCCTTAGATTCTCTTGGTAGAGCTGTAGCTAACACATAGCACTAAAGAGATTTGTGATGTAAATCATTAGGCCACCTCCAGATTAAAAAAAAAAAAAAAAACAAAACCCAAAAACTGATGGCCCCCTCCTGCCTCAACCTTTGGTGATGCCTGTCTGGTGCACGATTACCTAAACTTACTGGTTACTAGACACCATCAGAGACTTCTAGTTAGTTCAGTTTTACCCCAGGGCTTTCTACCCCTGCTATCTTTGGGGGACCTCTCTCAGGAAATTTCTAATGGAGGGAAAAGAGGATATTGCAAGGAAGATTCCTCTTCAGCACCAAAGGAAGCAATTTTAATCCAGATATTCCCAGTACCCAAGCAAATAGATGATCTGAGAACTATGCTAGACCTCTGACACCTCGGCTTCAGTTTATATTGTAACAACCTACTTTAAATTTCAGGCTACTATGAATAGGCTGACACGGCCCTATCTTTGGTGCCAGGATGGGGGGAAGGATAATAATTTACTCGCGAGCAGAGTTCACTCTTGCATTTCCTACTGTTATTCTCCACAGACCTCTCTAATGTTGAGTGATCATTCTTAGGACCTCACTGGTTCATGGCCACTGGAATACTTGGGGGGACTGTCTCCATATCAGGACTGAGGAATTCAGGACTTAGATATGCATTTTACAACCCTTTCACCCATTTGTACTGTAGCATGTAGAACAGGTGTGGGGAAGATACAAACATAGTCCTTAAACTGGTTGGTACTTTCTTTTCTTCTTCAGATATGACTAGATACAGCCAAACTATTTGCACTGAGTGAGAATATCAGACATCAGTTGTGCTCGATCTAGGATCACAGGGACAAGAAATATTGTTGGGAGACGTTCCTGCTGGATTTGAGCAGTCATCTACTCTATGCATACTTATCTGTTCTCTTGGTACCCATTTTGCATAAGGGTACTGATGGTGCTGTGCTAGCGGTTTGCAAAACAGCAGCAGGGACGTCTGCTGGAGCTCATTATTCAGTGGACTCGGTATTTTTCTCTGATGCTTAAAGGAAAATGGGGGAGGATAGAACCAATATCAAACTGATGGCATAGATTGGGTCTCTGGATATTTTCCTGCTGTTTGGAGAATTGCTGGGCCATCTTCCTCTGTGCCCAGACCTCCTTTTTCAGCAACAAGGGAAAATTATTAATCTGATTCTAGAAACTTCATCCGATTCCATAGATGGTAGTCTGCTAACTACCATGGGCACTTTCCAACAATCTAGCAGTCTGGTATAGAAAGAATTCAAAGTATTAAGTGGATGCTTTTTCCTTGTTGGGTGAAAAGCCAAGGGCTGGCTAACTTCCTCAGTCAGGAGTCCCTGCATTTAAATTCAAAAGTTCAGCAATAGCTTCTTTTAAAGGTTCATTTAGGAACTGTTATTGTGTGTTATCTGTTAGAGACTAGCCTTTTATTTTCTTATTGTGTCATCTCCAAGTTTAACTAAATGACTAGTGTCTTCTGCATTATTTGCGCATCTTCCTCAAATAGTGCTTTCCCTGGAACTTCAGCCTGCTTTTAATGATGTTGATATCTTCTTCCTGTGAGCTTTTGTTCAGCCCTTTTAAGAACCCCAGTCAGGCCAACTGGCACTTGTAATAGCATATTTCCGCTGCTAGGAAAGTTAGTGAAATCTTTGCCTTTCCATCCTATACAGCATTCATTTTAAAATGATCACTGAGACCTTATCCCTGTTTTGTGTTTCAAATGTTCTTACATGTTCATCTTTCCACTATACCTATCTTCCCATTTTATTCCCCTGAACCATGTTCACCCAGAGAGTATTATTTACTCTAGGTATGAAAAGAACCCTATGCTATTACCTGGACAGGGTTTTAATCTCTTTTAGAAAGTGTGAACACATTTATTTGTTGCCTGTTGAGAGAGAAGTAATGGAGAACCTGTCAGGAAATGAGCTCTTGTCCCCCAGATTAACAGAGAATAGTGTGCATTGTTATACACAACCAAAGAAACGCTTTATCTTTTGAGTTGGAGCAGCAGTGCTCACCCTACGGCCTACTGACCAGATCAGGTCCATAGGGCCATGTTATCCAGTCTGTGGGGCTCCCCACAGGTGCAGAAATTTGGCAGCAAAGGAGTGATGGCAGAGTTAATTGCTGACCCTGTGTACTGTGCACTGCCCCTG